GTGACTGCCGCCGCCGCTGCTGCCGTGAGACATGGGGACAGGGATGAACATGGGGTAGGAGGACGAGGACGAGTGGGAGGACTTGCTGCTTCCACAGCAACAACTCTCGCCGTAGTTGGCAAACAGAGCCACTGAAACAGGAACATGTTCACGGATTATCATCATCACTATCATCATACAACTTTGTTGTACTTGTTGTTACTATAAGTGGACTGACGGGATCGGTTGGTCAGGCTCACTGACTTGGTTTGATGCATGTCATCGATCCCAGTTGAAGGGATCGATGCTCTAATGTCAATCACTGGATTGTATGGTCCAGACTCGATTATTTACAGATCGCCGTCATATAGCTGGAATATTGCTGAGTGCGGCGTAAAACAACAAACCAACAACCAACTACTATGAATGAGTGAGGGGGGTTGATTATTCTCTAATTTGAACAGTATTTCACGATATATCACGAAACTCGACAAGAACGTTAATAAAGCTGATACACCAAGGATCATAATCAGGACCACGATTCGAGGAACCTGGCGCGGTTAAGTTATACAACTCTGCACAGCGAACTGCGGCTATTTCACACATATTTTCACCATGGAATAAGGGCTTTTGTATGGAGTAAATGTAAGAACCCAAACCGAAACGCCATTTCCCCAATCCGTCCAATAATAGAAACAGTTAAAAGGATTTAAGGGAAATCGTAAGTGCGACTTAAATATTCGTGATTATTTTATAACCTTACAATGATAGAAACAACGTGATGAATGGTGGTAGTTGAATTGAATACAATTGAATTATCTACAACAACGAATCTTCAGCAATAATTATCGCATTTATCATTAAAGAATGACTGTGAACTACTCACCACACAGGACAAAAATGTAGAGGAATCTTGCCATTGTTAACACTATTTTTTACTGATGTCTCAATCCTATCTAGATATCATTATATACCTTGTTGATTTCTAGCCCACAGAGAGACGTGTGACAAACCGTTGAAAAAGCCATATGGAACTGTACGTTTAAGTCAATGTTTAACCGAAAGATCACGACAAGCTGATAAAATGATAATTACCGTCATCGCCACACGGTGCTCTAACTGCTCCCCACAGTACGGCGACTGTGCACGTCTACAGAAACGCTTCAAGCACGTGTTGTCGTGTGTATGAAGTTGACACCACGTGGCGTGAGTGGTGCCCGGAGGTATCCTGTTGGTTTGATTGACAGCTGTGGATGACCACCTGGCCATGCGACCTGCTGTGCTATACTGACATCGACCACAGCAATATCCACTGACCACATGCCATGGGTAGGTACAAGGTTTTATAGTCGACTGACTTAAGTAAGTTAAATTAATCATATTTGCTTTAGTAAAGCAATCTGTGATGGTAGATGTTGGTAGAGGAATAATAGTCAGGAGAGTATTCGCCTGTTGTACTATGTAAGATGCACGTACCGCCTCCATGGTCTAGTGGTAGAGCGTCCGCCCGGAGAGCGGAAGGTCCGGGGTTCGATCCCCGGCCGCGTCATACCAAAAGACGTTAAAAGATGGTACTTGTTGTTACCCTGTCTTGCGCTTGGCATTAAGGGGCTAAAACAAGGACTGGTCGGCTCGGAGTCAGTATACTGTGTCTGAGTGGGGTATTCATGTTAAACTGCGGCATGGAATCTCAGTGTGCTAGCACTATAAATCAGCATCAGTCCGGACTAGTACAGACACACACACAGGCACACACACACACACACACACACACATACACACACACACACCTATATAAGTGCAATAATATTGGACGCGACGTTAAACCTCAAGTTACCTCAACTCATCATTAAGATGCATGTGTATATTTCAAATATCCTCCGGCATAGAACCTGTTTAATTATATACATAACAGTATATATCATCTAGCTGTCTTCGGTTATTGCTGTGCTGATCGTCACGTCACTCCGCAGCAATGATGGACATTTGTTGGGAAACCAATAAAAACTAGAAACGTTTCTGCTTTTACTGCCATAGCTGGGAGATCTGGAAAAGGTCTGACATGCTTTCATGATAATAGATAGACGCCTTCGTACGTTAGAGTCAATATTCTTGCCGATGATTCACATTCTGAATAGTCACGTGAAGATTCCTGGTTAGAATTGGTTTTCAGCAATCCATGCTTGTCGTAAAAGGCGGCTGTGCTTGTCGTAGGAGGCGACTAACGGGATCGGGTGGTCAGGCTCGCTGACTTGGATAAATGTATGACGTCATAAAATTAAAGTTCAGATGCATCTTTTTGTCAATTGTATTTATTTCGTCACATAACATCAAACTTCTTGACGTAAATGGGAACGAAGTCCATGTCATGCCACGTCTGTCTCTCACTGTAAACAATATAATAAATTATGTTATGAAAACGCTGCTTTTTGCAATTATAATAGGCGGGGGACACCAGAAGTAGTCTTAACACATTTAATCCATGTGAGAATCGGGGGCACGGGTGGCCCAGTCGTCTAAGGCGCCGCGATTCGCTGTGCAGAGTTGCGTCCCTTGGGCACGCCAGAAACCTATGATTGTGGGTGCGAATCCCGGTTCGCCCCGATTATGTTTCCAGGTTTGTCAGCACCATACCCGTGGTCGTGGGTTTCACCGAAGTGGTAAACGTCTAAGACCTGCGTCACTTCGGGCTTTCCTCAACTATTAAGCTGACACGCCGCGATATAACTGGAATACTGTTAAAAGCGGCGTTAAACCCAACTCACTCACACTCATGTGAGAATCGAACCCGGGTCTTTCTATTCGGCGTGGTGAGCCAACGTTTAACCACTAGATTACCCCATCACCCCTGTAGTTATACTGCTATACTGTGAACAATGAATGCGTGTAACACTTTCTTGCTTGTGTTTGTCAGTTTGTTGTTTAACTGCGTACACTACAATATACCAGCTATTTAACGGCGGTCTGTAATTAATCGAGTCTGAACCAGACAATCCAGTGACTGACATCTTGAGCCCTTATCTACGCTACTGCGATACGATGACACTCGTACGATGTAAAGCACAGAAGAGTGTACAAAGAAGTAAAAGTTACAATCCGATCAAAATCATTTCAATATTCTCAGTGCCTCTCGAAGATCTTCTGTGGTTATCGGAAGAATACCAAATGTACCTGTATATTAAAATACTCACGGTGCTTCATCCCAACGTAGTGAGGATGGTGGGGAGGAAGCTGCTGCTGGGTGCGGCGGCTGGTTGAGGGATGGGGACAGGGATGGGGATGGGGTAGGAGGAGGAAGTGCGTGAAATGTGGGTTCCCCCGCAGCAGCAACTCTGACCGTGGTTGACAAACAGGGCCACTGAAAGAAAGACAACAATTAGTTAAACGGAGATGCGGAATTGGTAATTGCAAGAAGCGCTCGTAAAATCTCCAATGATCGGTTACTTGGTGTTTTCTCTGCAGTGAGTGATATCAGTTAAACAATTATCTGTAGTTAATCGTGCATTACGATAAAGGTCGATATTGTGAGCATCGATTTATCCTGAAGAGAGCCCCGAGTCGGTCCAGCACAGCTATTGAGGATGGTAGTTACTGAAAGGTATGTTAGTGACTTCAGTGCAAGTAAGTGCCTATCTGCACTGATGTAACTATAAGGGACTTTTTTATGTGAAGGGCTCAGTGCCTCATTCCGACGTCAAATGAGATCGGGTAGTCAAAATGACAAAGTATGGTCATTGCAGCGAGTTAAGCCGTGTTCAAATAAGACATCGGTCTGTAGGCCCGGGGCCGACATATTTGTTCTCGGTCTGCAGTTTATTTAAGTTATTATTCATTAATAAGCATTATTTAAGTAATGTGATAAACATAACTTCCATATGGTTATGACATGTAGCCGCAAAGTTGTTTTACAAGCTGATAATTTCCTGATAAATGAAGGCTTCATCTATCACCACAGACTCTGGGATCTCGGTGTGATGGCAGTACAGTAAACTACGGTTATAACGAATTCAAAGGGACTACTAATTTTAGTTCGTTATAACCGTAATTCGTTATAAGCATTGGACAGCATAACTACAGCTTATAGTCGGGACTAAAAAGTTAGTTCGTTATATCCGTTAGTTCGTTATAAGCGTGTTCGTTATAACCGTAGTTTACTGCATTTTAAATTGCAAGAGTATGTCTCTCTGCTTCAGCCAAAATGTTTGGGCCTAAAGTTTTTCAATTGGGCCTACAGTTGTTTTTAAATTCGCTGGCCCTTAAGGTTCTCAGTTTACTCTGCTGAGTTTCAGACACTGGTGGTAAGGCACCACTAGGGATGACCTAGACAAGCGTGCTCACCTTTCAGCGAACACCAGATATCATCACTATTTGGTAGTGATTCATAAAGAGACTCCTATGATACAGTCGGAATCATACAATGCTTTAGTAGAGATTTACACCACCAGCTGCAGATATCTCCTCAATGCTTGGAGAGTATTGTAAATGTTTGTACCACCCCAACTCTACTCTGTTCTGAGATGAGCATACATTCTGAGATACCGATGCCAATATAGATACGTTATGAACTACAGTAAACTACGGTTATAACGAACACGCTTATAACGAACTTACGGATATAACGAACTTACTTTTCTGGTCCCGACTATTTGCTGTAGTTATGCTGTATATATGCTTATAACGAACTTACGGATATAACGAACTTACTTTTCTGGTCCCGACTATTTGCTGTTGTTTTTCTGTATATATGCTTATAACGAACTACGGTTATAACGAACTAAAATTAGTAGTCCCTTTGAGTTCGTTATAACCGTACTTTACTGTATTGAGACTGCTACAGGTGGCATGAATTGTGCCACATTGCAAGCTACGGATTGGTGGTCTCCATGCTTGATGCATTCACAGGCCGCTTATTCCGTGGCTGTATAACACATCGGTCCCTACATGTTTAGATACATATGATTCTGGTAACTGTTAATAAGTTTGATAAAAGTCAGTGTTAAGCCTGTTACACAAATACTCACCACAAAAGACAACACAGAGGGTGAATCGTGTCATTGTTGTGTCCAAGGTGTTCTCAAATAAAGATGCTTCACCCTGAACTATTTGTCATTTTATACTTTTGAATCATATAAACACGCTGGGTTAAATGTGACAAAAACAGATGTTTAAGCTCTAAAAGATATTGCTTAAAATAGACTCACTTCATTAAATGTCTAACAAAAACAGGTAAGATAACATGTGCATTAACGTGATAATTATCAAATATCATCACGTGTTGCAATCGATTGTGGGATTAATTGTGACATGATTAGATAACTTTTGTTGTAAACAGACTCAACTTCCCATGGCGCCATGTTCAACACTAACAATACCACATTCAGACTATGCAACTTTGCGAAGAACATCACGTGCAACCAGTTTTAATGAGGCGCATCACGTAACTTCAAACTGTGAGCGTGTCGTGATAACAATGAATCAGCACCACCAAGCAAACAAGTCTTTATGTAGCACTGAGTATCAATGTCAGTTTTCAAGAATATTTTTTATGTAAATATTTTTTATCAATGTTATCACATTTATAATATAAATGTACATGGCACACGATCCTTGTGATGACGTCGTTTACATCAACAATAGAGCGGACGTTGTAGGACAATGAAATAGTTTACACCTGGGACAGCCAAGGTAGGAATATGCGTATATTCTTGTAGAAATGAAGACCGTATGTCTTAAGTTAGAGACCGCCTCCGTGGTCTTGTGGTAGAGCGTCCGTCATTAGAGCGGAAGGTCCGGGGTTCGATCCCCGGCCGCGTCATACCAAAAGACGTTAAAATTTGTTTGTTTCTTTGTTGTTTAACGCCGCACTCAGCAATATTCCAGCTATATGACGGCGGTCTGTAAAATAATCGAGTCTGGACCAGACAATCCAGTGATTGACATCATGAGTATCGATCCACGCAATTGATGATCCTTGTTGTTACCCTGTCTGGCGCTCGGCATTAAGGGGCTAAAACAAGGACTGGTCGGCTCGGAGTCAGTATACTGTGTCTGAGTGGGGTATTCATGTTAAACTGCGGCATGGTATCTCATTGAGCTAGCACTATAAATCGGCATCAGTCCGGACTAGTACAAGCAGCCACACACACACATACACGTACATGCACGTCGCTATATAAGCGCAATAATCTTGGACGCGACGTTAAACCCAATTTCACCTCACCACGCATATTATATAGTTTATATACACAGGTGTGTGATCCTATGATTTGAACATGACTCCTTCAAAAGACGTTTTAGCCATCTTGAAATATCATTGCTGACCATTGTTAGCAAGGTAAATGATTTAATACCTAGTTATCGAAACTTGTTCCCCATGCAACATGCATTACTACAATAAATCATTTCAACAATATTTTTTTCTTTTGATTAACATGTAAATTGTTGTCAATGTCATCGACTCCTTTTCAACTAGTGTTTTAGATATCTTGTTCTTTTCATAATTTGGGTATTGTTAAAAATATTTTTGCAGGCAGAACAAATGATATGTTAACTCTAATGTGAAATGGCCGTGTTTGTATCTATCATGTTCCAGCGATATGTGTGTAGTTGTGACGGGCGTAATGGTGTGGTTGTTGCCAGTGTGGTTGACGTTAGTGGCGTTAATGTAGCTGCAATCGATGTAAAACAAGAAAAGTATCTTTACGTTTGATACTAAATTAGACGAAACTGAATCTAGCAAGCAACGCCCCTGTCCCAACCCCCGCGACCCGTGAAGATCCGGGGTAGAATAGGTCTTCAGCAACCCATGCTTGCCGTAAAAGGCGACTATGCTTGTCGTAAAAGGCGACTAAAGGGATCGGGTGGTCAGGCTCGCTGACTTGGTTGATACATGTCATTGTTCCCAATTGTGTGGATCTATGCTCATGATATCAATCACTGGATTGTCTGGTCCAGACTCGGTTATTCACAGACCGCCATCATATAGCTAGAATATTGCTGAGTGCGGCGTTAAACAACAAACCAACCAACCAACCCAACCCCCGCGCTTCTACAAAGATTCCCAGGACAGCTATTATGTAATAACTGACAGTGGCAAACATTCATTCCATGTACAACACGAAACAACTGCTAGTAGACATTCTAGGTATGTTCGGGCGGTCGGGTAGCCTAGTGGTTAAAGCGTTAGCTCGTCACCGTCACGCCGAAGACCCGGGTACGATTCCCGACATGTGTACAATGTTTGAAGCCCATTTCTGGTGTCCCCCGCCGTGATAATACTGGAATATTGCTAAAAGCGGCGTAAAACCTCACTCACTCACTCTTGGTATGTTCATCAACAGTGAGTGGTTGAATCTCGTTTGGTGGCGCAGTCATCAATGTGACGAAAAGTCCCCAAGATGGGCCCACTTGCACAAAGAGATCTTAGCACTACAACTATTGTAAGCCTATGTTAAAGTATGGGAGTTACGATCATCTTAGCGCTTTGTGCAAGTGGGCCATTACTGGCTGATAGCATCACCATAGTCCTGCACCATGACCGTGGAATATATTTATTTGATGAAAAAATAATAATCTAGAAATGCATACAAAAGCAAGTCTAGCCAGCTCAAGCTAGCTCTATTCCACACTGAAATCAGCATAGGGAATTTTTTTTTTTTAGAGTCAAGAAGGATAGTGTGTTATATAAGATTTCAGAGACTAAATGTTAGTCTAGCATCGCCATAGTCCTGCACCATGACCGTAGAATATATTTATTTTATGAAATAAAATAATCTAGAAATGCTTACAAAAGCAAGTCTAGCCAGCTCAAGCTAGCTCTGAAATCAGCGTAGAGAATTTTTTTATATTTTAGTGAGTGAGTGAGTGAGTTTGGTTTTACGCCGCTTTTAGCAATATTCCAGCAATATCACGGCGGGGGACACCAGAAATGGGCTTCACACATTGTACCCATGTCGGGAATCGAACCCAGGTCTTCGGCGTGACGAGCGAACGCTTTAACCACCAGGCTACCCGACCGCCCCTTTATATTTTAAGAGTCAAGAAGGATAGTGTGTAATATAAGATTTCAGAGACTAGATGTTAGTCTAGCATCGCCACAGCACAGATAGGAAACAATACAATCCGATCATCTTGGGCGATTACTAGTATGTACGCATGTATTGTTTTAGCGGAACTTCTCTACTCAGCGCTAATAAGCGGTCTATTTGGTGTGTGATTAGATTAATGTAAGGTTGGATTGAGGTGAGGATTCTCCTGTAAACCTGACAGAGGACATTTTCTTTAGATATAAATCCACTGATGCTTGAGAGGAGGGGGTAGGGGGGTGGGGGTGGGGGTGGGTGGGGGGTGGGGTGTGTGTGTGTGTGTGTGTGTGTGTGTGTGTGTGTGTCGCATTCATGTTGAGTCGCATTTTTGGCTAGGGGCCAGCGGTCGCAATCTTTTGGAGACGCATTAATTTCACGATTTACAGTATAACAAGGATTGCGATGCATCGATATCCTGACGGATACCGGAGACAGATAAGAAATAGGTGAATCGTCCCCGGTTGATAATTTGACCAAAGTAATTCTTTGATTCATCTGTTACAAAATAACCATGAAACTACTGACATGGTTGTATGGCGGTGAAGACAACATTAACGCTATTATGTCTTTTGATATTTTTATTCCGTGGCACAAGCCTCCTGAAAGCACAACAGTTTCTGGAGCTGGGGCAGTTAATCTTCTCTCTGAAAATAGAAAAATATAACAATTAAGTTTTAATTCGATGCCACAAATTAAGTTGAAGAACCATAATCTGCATTTGTTCACGTCCAGTGCGGACAGACCGAAAAACAGGACGAATCTTGGATTCAAACGACCTGCGGATCCTGCCACAGAAAAGGGACATAACAGCGATTTACGATGTATTGGCTCTCTGTGTAAACTGTATCTACTCCACACTATAGAACAACGTTATTTGTGATGAACAGAGCTTGACGAGTATACAGTTTACGTCATTGCATTTAAGTTCCATGTGGCACAACGGTCAATACATCCTGCATTCTATACATTCATTTTATGAATAAAAACTAAATAATAATTCGTATAATAGTTGACAGAAAAATAGATAATATTTAACAAAATAGTTTTCCCATGGAATGAATTTGTTGATAGATTTATGGATACTTACATCTGATGAGGTGTCATTGTTACAAGAAACTGATGCAAATCGTCTGTTGTGAATGTTTTACCTACCTGGTCAGATTAACCGCCTGTGGTGAGGATGATGGGGAGGAAGTTGGTGTGACTGCCGCCGCCGCTGCTGCCGTGAGACATGGGGACGGGGATGAACATGGGGTAGGAGGACGAGGACGAGTGGGAGGACTTGCTGCTTCCACAGCAACAACTCTCGCCGTAGTTGGCAAACAGAGCCACTGAAACAGGAACATGTTCAATGAAGTTGAATAGCAACTATCATCAATACACAATTGTGTTGCTCATGGATCGGTGTCAGTATAACTGAGTGTGCTGGGTTTGAACTCGGATTTGAACCGTATTTTTATTATATCACGGCGTGTCAGCTTAATGTTGGAAAAAATGAACCCGACGCTGACAGACCAAGGATCATAATCGGGGCGACGAGAAAGGGACCCTTGCACAATTAACTCTGCACAACGAAATACAGCGTCCGGGGCTACGGAGGTCTCACTGTGGAATAAGGACACTTGTATAAAGTAGATTACCAGAAATGAACCCCAAACGAAACAACGCCTACCTTTCGATAGAAAACAGAAGTAGTATCAAGTACGTGCTGTCATTTGGTGAAATCTTCTTTCGAATAACACAGGACAAAATGTCAAAAGCATATTTTCACATATGAGAGTATATGTAATTGAATATGAACAACTTTGCAATAGACGTAAACCATGTAACGGCTGATCTTCAACAACGAATCTTCAGCAAACATGGTGTATCATTAAAGAATGATACCCGTGAAGATCCGGGGTAGAATAGGTCTTCAGCAACCCATACCTGATACAAAATGCGACTATGCTTGTCTTAAGAGGCGATTGACGGGATCGGGTAGTCGGGCTCGTTGACTTGGTTGATGCATGTCATTGTATCCCCATTGCGTAGATCGATATTCATGATATCAATCATTGGATTGTCTGGTCCAGACGAATATTTACAGACAGCCGCCATATAGATGGAATATTGCTGAGTGCGGCGTTAAACAACAAGCAAACATTAAAGAATTACTTTTAATTACTCACCGCACAGGACAAAAATGTAGAGGAATCTTGCCATTGTTACTTTTTTACTGATGTCCCACTTTATTTAAATATCATTATATAGCCTGTGGTATAATCACCCACAGAGAGACGTGTGACAAACCTGTGTATATCATGAAAAGAACAGTCCCCATCAAGTCAATGTTTAACCGAAAAATGCACGAAAAGCCAGTCATATGATAGATGAATTAACGTCAGTCTTACACGGACCTTGTATTGGCCATCACCGTAACGAGAATGTTAAATACCACAGAACCATTTAACCGCACGTTTTGTCATATTTACGTCGCACCAGGGGGCGGGACTGTTTCCTGAAGGCACCCTGTTGGTTTGAACGAGGGCTAAGGATGACCACGTGACCTGTTGTGCGATGGTTAACCACATGACCACGGAGGGGTTTTATTCACGAGTAAGTTAAGAAAATTTCACTAATCCTATATGCACCATTATGGTGGTCTGTGATGGTATATGTTCGTCAGAAGGGGTAGGTTATGAGTAGAGAGGTTGTCAGCCTCTCATGCCATAACTCAGCCGCGTCATACCAAAAGACGTTTAAAGATGGTACTTGTTGTTACCCTGTCTGGCGCTCTGCATTAAGGGGCTAAAACAAGGACTGGTCGGCTCGGAGTCAGTATACTGTGTCTGAGTGGGATATTCATGTTAAACTGCGGCATGGTATCTCAGTGAGCTAGCACTATAAATCGGCATCAGTCCGGACTAGTACAAGCAGCCACACACACACACATACACGTGCATGCACGTCGCTATATAAGTGCAATAATCTTGGACGCGACGTTAAACCCTATTTCACCTCACCTCATGCCATGTCTTCTAAGATCGTACAAAACATCACTCGATTTGCCTTTGGAGCTGGCTGTTCTGTGCCCTTGACGATACGGTCTGCATTTCTCAGCCAGGCACTGCTAATTGGTGCCATTCTTAATATGGAGGCAATAGATTTAATTGCGCTTTTCATCCTTCGATTTCTATGGAATGGTATGTCATGGTAAACAGCTAACTACTCTCTCGAGGTGTTTTCCACAAAACATGAACTGGGGTTTACTTCGTTCAGCAGAGCCACTGCCAAATATAATTATTTTTTTGTTTTTGAAATGTTTACATGTACATGTAGTTTCCATTTAGTGCAGTATATTCTAAACGAGTCAAGGGTTTTCTGTTAATTGGCGGGGCATCTACTAAATAAAACTGTATCATCAGCATACAGTCAAATAATAATTTGTAATTACAAGTTTGCGTCTTCACCAAGATCATAAACAACATTTTATCGTGACAGATGTTCCAGTTGAGATTGCTCGAGGTCATTTAGTTACATTAAAAGAGGACCGCCTCCGTGGTCTATGGTAGAGCGTCCGCCCGGAGAGCGGAAGGTCCGTGGTTGTGGTTCGATCCCCGGCCGCGTCATACCAAAAGACGTTAAAATATGGTACTTGTTGTGACCTTGTCTGGTGCTCGGCATTAAAGGGCTCAAACAAGGACTGGTCGGCTCGGAGTCAGTATACTGTGTCTGAGTGGGGTATTCATGTTAAACTGCGGCATGGTATCTCAGTGTGCTATCACTATAAATCAGCATCAGTCCGGATTAGTACAAGCAGCCACACACACACGTGCATGTACGTCGCTATATAAGTGCAATAATCTTGGACGCGACGTTAAACCCAATTTCACCTCACCTCACAATGAAAAAAGACAAAACTTTATCCCCATTACTAACTCCGGAAAGGCTTGGGAAAAAATCTGATATTTCATTTTTTACAACAATACACGATTCAATACTGCTATACAATTTTTTAATAAGAATGAAAAGTTTTCCTCTGACGTCATCTTTCAACAGTTTGTGCCAAAGACCTATTCTCCACGATTTGTCAAAAGCCTTAATGAAATCTATAAAGCACAATACAACTTTTGTTTCATGTACTTAAGGCTCTGCATTAACATATTGATGATAAACATGTTATCTACCGTTGAGAAGTGTTTCCTAAATCCAGCTGACGCGAGATACAGGATGGTATTGTTATCAGTGAAAGATGACAATCGCGTTTACTGGTAAAACGTTTCCCCAAGCAACTCAAAATTGTGATAGGTCAGTATGAGTTTGGGTCTTTGTTGTTGTTTGTTTGTTGTTTAACGCCGCGCTCAGCAATACTCCAGCTATATGACGGAGGTCTGTAAATAATCGAGTCTGGACCAGACAATCCAGTGATTGATATCATGAGCATCGATCCACGCAATTGGGGTATGGTGACATGCATCAACCAAGTCAGCGAGCCTGACCATCCGATCCCGTGAGTTGCCTCTTACGACAAGCATAGTCGCGTTTTACGGCAAGCATGGGTTGCTGAAGACACCGGATCTAGTCTACCCCGAATCTTCACGGGTCTACCACACAAACATGTATTTTAGAATTAATACAGTTCCCAAAGGTGAAACCATTTGTTTGTCAAGCTGTGTTTCACACAGGACATGAAATCTTGCAATTAATAAAACTGGTCATATGCCAGTCCATGACCTTGATATCAGCTGCTAGTAACAATCTAACGTCAGAAGGGGGCACGGGTGGCCCAGTCGTCTAAGGCGCCGCGATTCGCTGTGCAGAGTTGCGTCCCTTGGGCACACCAGAAACCTTTGATTGTGGGTTCGAATCCCGGTTCGCCCCGATTACATTTCTAGGTTTGTCAGCACCATACCCGTGCTCGTGGGTTTCACCGAAGTGGTAAACGTCTGAGACCTGCATCACTTCGGGCTTTCCTCCCACATTAAGCTGACACGCCGTGATATAACTGGAATACTGTTAAAAGCGGCGTTAAACCCAACTCAGTCACTCACTAACGTCAGAAAGTCATTGTTTACAGACCTCAATGATATTATTGAAACACTGCTGACTGCGGCTTATATACACTCACTCATTAAATGTAAATTGACGTTAACTTCTGAAAGGAAGGGGGCACGGGTGGCCCAGTTGTCGTAGGCGCCGCAGTTCGCAGTGCAGAGTTGCGTCCCTTGGCCACTCCTTAAAGTTATGATCGTCGGTTCGAGTCCTGGCTCGCCCCGATTATGTTTGAAGGTTTGTCAGCACCATACCCGTGCCCAAAGAGGTAACCTTTTGAGACCTGCATCACTTCTGGCTTTAAGCTGACACGCCGTGATATAACTGGAATACTGTTCAAAGCGACTTTAAACTATCTCTGAAAGGAGAACGACATTTATACACGCGCCTATACCTGGAGAAAATCAAAGTCCATTAATAATTCCACAAAACGTAAATGAGAATAATCTAATTTGTGGTGAGATATGTTTATGAATTTTGGACGAAGGAACTGATATAAAATATCAACGCCAGAGAATACGCAGTCTCTGCCGAAAGATATTCCATTGGGCGTAAAAGGGAAAACACTGTGGGAAATTATAATTAATGGATCACTAAAAGCTAAAGATGGCACTAGGTATATCTGCCGATATCGTTCTTCCAAAACTAAGTAAAAGTTGGTTGGTTGGTTTGTTGTTTAACGCCGCACTCAGCAATAGTCCAGCTATATGACGGCGGTCTGTACATAATCGAGTCTGGACCAGACAATCCAGTGATTGATATCATGAGCATAGATCAACGCAATTGGGATCGATGACATGTATCAACCAAGTCGGCGAGCCTGACCCCCCGATCCCGTTAGTCGCCTTTTACGACAAGCATAGTCGCCTTTTACGGCAAGCATGGGTTGCTGAAGACCTATTCTACCCCGGATCTTCACGGGTCGCGGGGGTTGGGACAAGCATAGTCACCTTTTACGACAAGCATAGTCACCTTTTACGGCAAGCATAGTCACCTTTTACGACAAGCATAGTCACCTTTTACGGCAAGCATAGTCACCTTTTACGACAAGCATAGTCACCTTTTACGGCAAGCAAGGGTTGCTGAAGACCTATTCAACCCCGGATTCTTCACGGGTCTAGTAAAAGTATCTGCACCAGTAACGATACCCCTGGGTCCTTGGTTTGTTTTTAAGAAAATGACGAGTGAAGCGGAATATAATTAGTCATTTTCATGTAACACCACTTTATACTGTATCCCAGCGTGTCAGCTTGATGTGGGAGGAAAGACCGAAAAAGTGATACAGGTCTCAGACGTTTACCACTCTGGTGAAACCCACGAGCACGGCATGGTGCTGACAAACCTAGAAACATTGTCAACGCTGCACAACGAGTTGCGGCGCCTTAATCGTCTTTGGTATCCGCGACCAAAATACAATTACCTAGTGTCAGGACAAATTTGAACAACCCATCAATGTCAAGAGTTTTGTTCCTTAGTGTGCAGAACAACGTCAACATTAACCTGTGATTTGGTCCGCCTGTCCATTTATAGAATTAATTATTACAGTGAGACGGACAACCCTTCTATGAGTGGTAAACGTTTCCAGTTACATTACATGAACGCATGTTCTGACATATCATTTACTCATTCTGAGTGTCTGCAAATTGTTGTTAAAGACCCGTTAAGATCCGCGGTAGAATAGGTCTTCAGCAACCCATGCTTCCCGTAAAAGGCGACAATGCTTGTCGCAAGAGGCGACTAACGGGATCGGGTGGTCAGGCTCGTTGACTTGGTTGAAGCATGCCATCGACCCCAATTGCGTGGATCGATGCTCATGATATCAATCTTAGGATTGTCTGTTCCAGACTTGATTATTTACAGACCGCCGCCATATAGTTGGAGTGCGGCGTTAAAAAACCAACCAACCAACCAACCAACCAACCAACAAACAAATTGTTGTTAAACGTAATGTGGCATTGAATACACTGAGTCGACCGTGCATACCCTTGCCCATATTCTGATGTCTTGATTGCTAAATTCAGAACATTTAGTTCCATATACTCCTGTGACATTTATGGGCGGTAGGGTAGCACAGTGGTTAAAGCGTTCGCCCGTCACGCTGAAGACCCGGGTTCGATTCCCCACATAAGTACATTGTGTGAAGCTCATTTCTGGTGTCCCCTGCCATGATATTGCTAGACTATTGCTAAAAGCGGCGTAAAACCATATTCCGTCACGGACTCACTCATGTGACATTTGAGCCACCCTATCTATTTGTCTACTTGAAAATTATGTTTCCAGGTTTGTCAGCACCATATCCGTACTCATGAATTCAAACAAATTGACAAACGTCTGAGACCTGCATCCCTTCTGGCTTTCCTACCACATTAAGCTGATTTCACCGGAGTACTGTTTAAACTGCCGTTAAACCCAACTCACTCCCTCACTTCTACAAGAAGATATACCTGTACCGTGGTAGCTCAAGTCAAAGGGTATTTCTGGAGCCAATAAATACTACCCTCTCAACATTGTTGTTATATAATAATCTTGACTCTGAGACGCAGGAGACTTAACTAAAAAATAACCTAACCTATATCTTACCGTCTCGTCACTCATTCCTCGGTCAAATCCGGATATGGCTATACATCTTCACTTATGCCATTTGTTGAGCCATTCCAACCCACGTCATGCTGCACAGTATCTACACATACAAGTACGTTGACAGTTTCAAGGTTGAAAGGGGTTTCTCAGGTCTCCATACAGTATCATTTCAAAATATGACTTTTTTTTAAAAACTTCAACATGCGTCATCATGAATATACATCGAATGTCCTTTGTAGGAACATTTTTTAATCAAAGTATATTCCTAAATATAATATAATAATTAATTCACACCACACGATACTCAGTTATGATTGAGTGATGTCGTGCTGTGTCGCTGTTATCACTGCTAACCCCAGCCGTCCCCGCAGTATGACATACCTGACGATATTTTATATCTCATGCAAAAATATTTCCCGTGATGACATTCGTAAGAGAATACAACTTAATGTGCTAATGTTCTACAATAGTGTCCGCGTTATTTTTGAGGCTATTGAGGGCGGTGGGGTAGCCTAGTGGTTGAAGCGTTCGCTCTTCACGCCGAAGGCCCGGGTTCAATTCCCCACATGGGTACAATGTGTGAAGCCCATTCTGGTGTCCCCTGTCGTGATATTGCTAGAATATTGCTAAAAGCGGCGTAAAGCCAAACTCACTCACTCACTCACTGACGAGGCTATGTAAAGGATTGTGTTGTTTTTATTCTACTCCTAACAATCGGCGTCACGGCTATAGAGGAGTTAAATCCATGGTCATATCTGTGTCATACTTAATCCCTATAATGGCCCCACGTGATGATAGCTATTCGATATCACATAATGCACGTACCTTTTTTAAAGATTTTAATTTTGTGAAACGATTTTATTTTAATCAAACGACTGGAGAGGGAAAATATCATTTCATTCTTGTCACGTTTAACTCAGCATGCGTGAATGATTACAAACTATAAATCATATTTGGTTCAGGTCGGAGCATCATTCTTTGGTAACAACTGTCGAAGTAACCATGGCACGGTTCATCTATGCTTTTGTCCTTTGTGGTGAGTGCTATCAGTCTAAAATATTTACATCTAAACATTTTGTCAGTGAATCAGTGGTAGATAGGCCTGTGTTAAATGGTAAAGGAAGAATACCATATTTGTTGATTTATGATTCAGCCACAATTGGGCTACGTTTAGATTGGTTTGTTGTTTAACGCCGCACTCAGCAATATTCCAGCTATATGACGGCGGTCTGTAAATAATCGAGTCTGGACCAGACAATCCAGTGATTACTATCATGAGCATCGATACACGCAATTGGGATCATTGACATGCTTCAACCAAGTCAGCGAGCCTGACCACCCGATCCCGTCAGTCGCCTCTTGTGACAAGCATAGTCGACCATGTTTAGAATAGGTCCTCATCACTCTACCGTCGTACGAGGCGACTAAAATGTATCTGATGCTCAGGATAGTGACCTGGGCCCCGTTCCACAAAGTGATCTTAGCGCTAAGTCGATCGTAACTCCCATTCTTTAACACTGACGTACGACAATCGTAGCGCTAAGATCGCTTTGTGGAACGGGGCCCTGGCTGTTTACTTCAATCGAACCCCGATGGCGTGGGACGTTCTTTCAGGTGAACAATTGACTTGCCTTTGCATGTGTTTGTGATGGGTGTCACTTTTGGTAATTCCATTTTTAGGTCGAAATCGTGCAATGAAATTTGCTTTTAACAGAAATTAGTAACGTAAGTCCGGGAAATGTTTTGTCGCTTTTATTTATAATATAATAATTATTTTTGTTCTAGCCCACTCACAGTTATTTACAGGCCGGCGTGGTAGAGCCTTAATATGTTTGACTGTTGCGCTATAAAACAAACAAAGACATGATTCCGCGACATCATTTCCATATTCATAAGACATGTCTACTAAAAGCAGCGTTCATTGGACGATTCCGACAACCCCATAAGCACGTGTCTATGAATATCACTATCACAAAAGAAGATCGGGCGGTCAGGCTCGCTGACTTGGTCGATGCATGTTATCGTATCCCAATTGCTTGGATCGATGTTCATGATGCCAATCACTGCACAGCAAACAGACAAACAAACATAAAAGTGTTCAGGTTTGTCCATTGAAAGCGACATCCCAGTTTGTTCAAATCATGCTGTTATGAGGTGCCTGGTTTGGTAAATCGGAAATGTAATTAATTTTTTTCAATGCTGAATGGTCGACTTAAGACATGATCCCCAGCATCCCATACTTGTCATAAGAGCCGACGACATGTAAATCCCTATCAATAACAACTGTTCACCTGACAAAACACAAGAACATATGGTGTAAGTCAAAATACGGAATTTTGTAACTGATGCGTCAAATCTGGAATGTCCTCCACATGTTTACCATATCAAACTTTTGAAAGTTTTACGAAGGCCTTGAATGTTTTAAGCCTGATCAAATAACTTTGAGCAAGAGTCGTATGACGATCTTAATGTAAAGCGCAAGCTCGATTTTACCTCACAAGTTGTGAAATGTTGCCATAAGGTTGATTATTGGACAGTTGAAATCATCCCCCTTGTCAAAAAGTCTCGTGGATAGTTTCTTGTCACTCTGAATCTTTATGTATGGATATAAATATGAAACGGATGAGGTGGTTTCACTGGGTTTTTTTATTTCTAGATCAGGTTGGTAGTCAGTGGACCATCTTCCCGAGGCAAGAGCGTCCACTAGCCTTTTTATCAAAGTCAGAAACTAGGCTTTGATACGGGCTAGTGAACACGCTTGCCTCGGGAAGATGTCAGCGGACGGGAATTGGTTATTTGGCCGTTATTGAACGATGTCAGGGTGACGCTGTACAAAGCAACCTTAACGCTACGGCCTTTCACGGCTTTCATTAAGACCATTCATCAGTTATAACTCTCAGCAGATCATCTTTCAGATTTAGCTGGGTTGGTGTGGCATCATACCCCGACAACGTGTTTCGAAGATAACCTCGTTGTCATTACTTTTCCTCTTCAAAGACATTTACATTCAAGTTGGATTTTGTTAGTGATATAGCTGATCATGAGACGTATTTGTAAATCCCCTTCATTCATGCAGCTACTATGGAGCAGAGTAAGAGCCAACTAGATTGGAATAAAAGTGTTACGATGCGTAACCATGCTGAATGTGTCATCGGAACCTAACTTCGGATGAACATATTACGGCCGCTTCAAGCTAATACCGATTCTGCACTCGCCTTTTTCTTGTCATTTCAGTGGCTCTGTTTGGCCAGTACAGTGTGGGCTGTTGCTGTAAGGGGACCCAGGCATCTTCCCAAACTTCCTCATCCTCCTACCCTATCCCTATCCCCGTCCCCGCCCCCCAACCCCCCAGCAGCAGCGGCAGCTCCAACTTCCTCCCCACCATCCTCACCACTCTCGGATAAACCAGTAGGTATATGTTTAAAGGAAGAATTAAAAGATAAAATAGTCTGCTATTGGTGATTTCATGGCGACATGCGAGTGGTTTCGCGAACACCTGGTGTCATCACTGATTTTATGTGATCAATTCATAATTTTTAAAATAATTTTCACCGTTCTTAGCCTTTCACTCCCAATGGAATCTGTTCGGAACGATAATAGAGACCTCCAATTTGGTCATATTTTTTCTTTTTTGTTGGTTACCTATTTGAACTCTGTGAGCCTCCTACTTCTTTTATCCCTCGATCTTCAATTGACTTTGGAGGATGGTAAACCGCGTACAATCAAATCACCAATGCCTGAAAGAATACTTAATGTATCTCGCTTGAAACGAAACAAATTGAAAGCGACAAATTGTCATTGCTGATCACCTATCAGCGCCAAGTATCTGCTGGCTTCCCTTGCTAAGTTTCCACCTTTGTTATCTTATTACTTTTGTTGTTCTTACAGGTACATATATATGTTCTGTTTCATAGCATTAATTGGGGCGGTCGGGTAGCCTAGTTGGTAAAGCGTTCGCTCGTCACGCCGAAGACCCGGGTTCGATTCCCGACATGGGTACAATGTGTGAAGCCCATTTCTGGTGTCCCCCGCCGTGATATTTCTGGAATATTGCTAAAAGCGGCGTAAAACCATACTCACTCACTCACTCACTCATAGCATTAATTCATCTGATGAAGAAATAAGTATATACACTCCGAAACGTAGTGTCCCTCACAATAAGGAAGTTAACATCCATAAATTCTATTCCTTATGTGTATCACTTTTAAATGCCTTTCAAAGACTGGACAACGTGTCAGCATCAGAACCTTGTGTTTCAGCGTCCAGTGCTGCCAGATCCAGATGTCGACCGTCTTGAGAACCGGATTGCGTTCGTCATTGGATGAAACTGCTTCAATCATTGTAGTATATAAATTGTGGAAATAAATACAAGTGACGAAAGCGTACATTTGAAGTTTTGTTATTAGATAGTGTATGAGTGTTGATTTATTATGAAATATTACAGATAACATTGTTATAGCCACTTCAAACTTCACAATGAATACTATGGTATATGTATCAGTTAATTTTTCAAATCAGCTGACCTATAATTTGCAAAGAAATCAACGGTCTGAACACTTGTCATCGTTCTTGTGATGCAAGGGGCGGTCGGGTAGCCTAGTAGCTAAAGCGTTCGCTCGTCATGCCGAAGACCCGGGTTCGATTCCCGACATGGGTACAATGTGTTAAGCCCATTTCTGATGTCCCCCGCCGTGATATTGCTGGACTATTGCTAAAAGCGGCGTACCCAGTTGTGCTATATATACTATATAAAAGGGGCACGGGTGGCCCAGTCGTCTAAGGCGCCGCGATTCGCTGTGCAGAGTTGCGTCCCTTGGGCACGCCAGAAACCTATGATTGTGGGTTCGAATCCCAGTTCGCCCCGATTATGTTTATAGGTTTGTCAGAACCATACCTGTGCTCCTGGGTTTCACCGAAGTGGTAAACGTCTGGGACCTGCATCACTTCGGGCTTTCCTCCCACATTAAGCTGACACGCCGCGATATAACTGGAATACTGTTAAAAGCGGCGTTAAACCCAACTCACTCACTCACCCCATATATACTACTCCACTTTTGATAAGGAAATGTTCATGTTCCCATGATACACAGCTGATTCTCATGATACGTCAAGTGTCTATTTAAATAGAATGACATGTGTGATTATCCAAATCAAGTGCTTTGTAGTATATTATAAATCGTTTACCCAACAGTAACCAAAATATATAAATTACCTCGGTTTTTGTCTTGTGCTATGTAAGGAACTGACCTTGTCATCTTTTGGTGGGCCCCTGACTTGTTGGAAGAAAACTACTTGTTTCCTAAAACACTATTGTCATCAGGGTTTACATCAAACACATAAATCGCTTACTGCACATTCTGGTAGTCCTGAAAGGTGTTTTTGATCCAAACGAATTTTTAATATCTCTGTGTCGTACCAGCGTAAATTAGACCGGACAAAAGAAGATATATACTGAAAAGTGGATTTTAATCAAAGAATTACAAGTATTATCTAAACGTTACTAGGCTGAAAACAATCGCTGAAACACTGCAAACTCAAGGTCCAAAACACAACTATGATACCCGTATCAAATACGAGCGTACATAACCAACTTATGACAATTTCTTTGTTTGTTTCATTTTTAGCTACCACTGGACATGGAGTTATTCCTATAATAGTTATCTGTATCCATTGATCCTTATTACATTTACTATGTTAATGAAAGAAGTAACAAATACATTCATTCTGTATCGATTTCTGAAAATATTTGCTAGTCACTTGATTACGTTGTACACCCAAGGTAGATGTCAAAGGTTGTGGCAAGCCACGGCTTAAAGTGTTAACTCAGTAGGACTGACAGCGGGGGGCGTGAGGTGGTAAAAACATCAACGACAGTGTAACTGTGGACGCGAACCTATAAAAAGCCCAGTCGACAGTCTAAGCAGTGCACACACCTCCCTTGTCTGATTAACGACATTAACAAGATGGGACAACCTGCTTTCATGGCTGTTCTTCTGTTCGGTGAGTCCGCTTAAGATGTGTTTTGTTTATTTTCTTTGTTGACCATGTGTTGTAATATATTTGACATTAACGACGCTGCTACAGCAACGATTTTTATACCTCTATAAAATATTGAATGGAAACTTAATAGTCTAACCAAATGTTCAATATCGATGGACTGTTCTTCTTTTCGATGTGTCTGCTAAAGATTTTTTTGTTTAATTTCTTTGCCGACCATTTCTTTTCTACCTCTATTATAAGTTTCATTAAACTTAATTGTCAATCATAATGTTCCAAACCGATCTCAAAGCACAAACCATCGTTCAAACATTGCATGAAAATATATGACTATTTGTTTTGGTATATGACGACTATTTCTTTGTGTCAGGGCCCTTTTTCGCGAACACGTGGTGTCCCAACTGATTGTCAGTGATCCATTCATATAATATTCCCCTAAACATTGTATTTTGCCTTTTACGCCCAATGGAATCTGTTTCGGTAGGTAATCGAGACTGGCTATTTGCTGGCGTTGACGTTTTATAATAACATTATATACCACGGGTACAAAGTTTGACGTCAAACAACTTGCGTATTCGAAGTATTCGAAACAAAGCCGTAACGTCAATGAAGTATGTTAAAACCTTTAGACAACATGTTCGAGAATCCATAGGTTTCCCACTCGGTACATAATCCTTTCCTCTGTTTATTCTGATTGTTTCTCCCTCTGTGCCGGCCAGTTGTCCTGATGGTCCACTACGGTCACTCCTGCGGGAGCTCCAGCTCCTCTGGATCCTCAGGCTCCTCCGGTTCTTCCGGCTCCTCAGGCTCCTCCGGCTGCTGCTGTTGTGGAAGCAGCTCCGGCTCCTCTTCCTCCTCCGAGGACTACCCCATCCCAATCCCCGTCCCATACTCTAGCGGCGGCAGCAGCAGCAGCGGCAGCAGTGGTGCCTCCGACGCAGCCCTTCTGCAGGCTCTCATAAACGCAGGGAAATAGACTTGGCGGTAGGTGAATTTCGATTTCAAAAACAGTGAAAACTTACACGCATTAAGTAGGTGCTAAAACGTATCCAAAATCATTTCTGGTTTAAATACGTGTGTGGTGTTTTGTGGACCAATATATGTTGTTTGCTTTTCGTTGTTGTTGTTGATTATTTGAAACTACGTTCCAGGAATAACAAAAACTAAGAGTGTGTTAGTCATGAGATATTTCAATAGCTGAAATTTCATTCTTGTTGCTCTTGGTTTGCTCATATTTTTTATTTCTGTTTCAGATTTTTCGTCCATACAGTGGTAAAAATATATCGGAAAAATCACAACTGTTATGCGGACGTAAATAAAAAACATGAAGCATTCCACAGATGTGTTGGGTTATATTGTGTTCCTTTCTACAATTACTAAAATGCCTACTTCGGAAAGGCGGCTTTTAGAATGCAGAAGTAAACCCTGAAGTATTGTGTGTCTACTTTTGTACCCACCATATACCCGGGCCCGTGGGTTGCACCAAAGTGGTAAACGTCTAAAAGGCGACGATGCTTGACGTAAGAGGCGACAACCGGAATCGGGTGGTCAGGCTCGCTGACTTGGTTAATGCATGTCACCGTATCCCAATTGCGTGGATCGATGCTCATGATGTCAATCACTGCATTGTATGGTCCAGACTCGTTTATTTACAGACCGCCGTCATGTAGCTGAAATATTGCTAAGTGTGGCGTTAAACAACAAACAAGCAAGAAACAAGTAAACGTCTAAGACCTGCATCTCTTCGGGCTTTCCTCCCATGTTAAACTGACAGGCCGTGATAAAACTGGAATACTGTTCAAAGCGGCTGCGTGGCGCGCGAAAGTCTACACTTGGCAATATTCCAGCTATATGACGGCGGTCTGTAATCGAGTCTGGACCAGACAATCCAGTTATTGATATCATGAGCATCGATCCACGCAATTGGGACACGATGACATGCATCAACGAAGTCAGCGAGCCTGACCACCCGATCCCGAGGAGTCCGAAGAAGGCGTTGCCTCAAGTAACCTGTGCTTGTCGTAGGAGGCGACGTACTTTGATTCGGTGGGTGGTCGGACTCGGTGGCTTGGTTGATTGCGTGTCACAGTACCCGGTGTGTTAATATTTGCTGGTGCCGTGGCTACTTGAAGCAAGTGTACCCAAAACACCTTTTTAATTACAATGGATATATTATATGTTTATTATTCTGTTATCAAATAAATGTCTTTGTTATTATGTACCCCACTGTTTGTGTTCTGTGTGTACACTAAAGTACTGTCGGAAATGCAAGAAAACTGCTTTTCTTGCTTCATTTAATAAATACGAGTCATGGGACTATAAAAAGAGCATATATCAAAATAACGCAAATTGCCCTTATCTAGCCTGTCCTAACTGGCACTGTGATTACCCTTAAAATTTTCTTTTACAGGTAAAATAATGATTAACTTAGAAGATATTCGTGTTGTCATGCATGTCACAGGTGCAAATGTTACCGAGTTGGGGATGGTCTCAAAATATTGCTGTTATTGTACTTAATTGACATGTGCGTTGACGGGGTAGCAATATCAGGGATATGTACTGCATAATATTTGCGTGGAAACATGATGGACTAGTTAAAAGCTATGAAACGGGATGAGTATTGGAAGGTTGCTGTTTTGGAATCAAGAAGTATTTGTTGTTCTGCAGATGATTTCTTGAGGTAGCATTTATCTCCGCTGATGACGTATATGAATCTGTACTTGCCACAAACCCTTTACTATCAGCAAAGATGGGCACAACAGGGTTGGGCTAACAAAGTCTGACTGGCGTACGTTAGACAACATGACCGTGCGTTGTTTAATATGGGCAATAGCTGAAGTTCCAACCAACCTATGAACACATCACCTCCTATAATTTCCTCGCCTCGAAAACTAGAACACATCCATCAATAAACCCCATATCACGGGTTTCAGCGTGCAAAACAATGACACGATTACCTTTACCTGATGGTCTGTGGGTGCTTTTTGTCCATCTGCCGATAGCCACATGTGGTCAGTGGAATGATTCACCAAGGTAAATTATCTGGACACCCTGACTGCGGTAGTGACTTAGAATGAATTAAACTTCCTGTTTTTGTTCGAATTTGTCTCCTGTAAACTTGTCGATAGGACTCATTGTGACTGAAATACTTAAAACCATAGGTAGGTCGATCGGAGGATACTCAATATTTCAATAACAACAGCCTGAAAAATTATATCCTTTTTTAACAGGCAAAAAGCAGTTTTCTCGCATTTCCGACAGTACTTGGCGAAAGAATGGGCTTCATACGAAACATTAGCCAGATGTAAGGAATCAAACTCGGCCGTTTCGGCGTGACGTGCACAAATTTGATTAAGACACTGGGCTGCCTTACTGCTATTATGGACATATTTCCTTCATACATAAAATATTACCGTGCACAGTGGAATCTGTCGAGAGAGGACTTTGACTGATCAGCATTTGTAAAACAAGGCGATATCAATTGTGCCGAATATACTATGATTCATAAATGTTTTCTTTGAATCTTGTTTCTATTTACATTTGTTTTCCTCTCTGTTATAATATTCCTAATACATGCCTCTGTAAAGATCAGACTCACTTTCGGCCCCCAACAAGTAAAACGTTTATTTCGCCTGGATGTCAAAACAATGACACAATGAAGTCCAAAGCAGATATTCCACTGTTTTGTTTGTTTGTTTGTTGTTTAACGCCGCACTCAACACTATTCCAGCTATATGACGGCGGTCTGTAAAATAATCGAGTCTGGACCAGACAATCCAGTGATTGACATCATGAGCATCGATCCACGCAATTGGGATCGTTGACATGCACCAACCAAGTCAGCGAGCCTGACCACCCGATCCCGTTAGTCGCCCTTTACGACAAGCATAGTCGCCTTTTACGGAAAGCATTGGTTGCTGAAGACATATTCTACCCCGGATCTTCACGGGTCTCAATCAGAGCTGAAACATAAGAGACCAACTCATCATATCAAGTGGTGCACCACAACTGGAGCTGAAACATAGAGATGAACTCATTATATGAAGTAGCACGTCACAACCAGAGCTTAAACACATGAGAACAACTCATTACATGAAGTAGCGCCTCCCAGTTGGAGCTAAAACAAGAGATCATATGAAGCGGTGCGTCACAAACGGAGCTGAAACATAAGAGGTGAGGTGAGGTGAAATTGGGTTTAACGTCGCGTCCAAGATTATTGCACTTATATAGCGACGTGCATGCACGTGTATGTGTGTGTGTGGCTGCTTGTACAAGTCCGGACTGATGCCGATTTATAGTGCTAGCTCACTGAGATACCATGCCGCAGTTTAACATGAATACCCCACTCAGTCACAGTATACTGACTCCGAGCCGGCCAGTCCTTGTTTTAGCCCCTTAATGCCGAGCGCCAGACAGGGTAACAACAAGTACAATCTTTTAACGTCTTTTTGTATGACGCGGCCCGGGATCGAACAATGGACCTTCGGCTCTCCGGGCGGACGCTCTACCACTAGACCACGGAGGCGGTGAAACATAAGAGACCAACTAATTAGATGAAGTGCTGCATCACTACTGCAGCTGAAATACTAGACAATAACTCATTATATAAAGTGGTGCTTTGCAACTGGAGATGAAACATATGAGAACAACTCAATGCAGGAAGTGGCGCATCACAGTTGGAGCAACAACACAAGAGACCGACTCATCTGAAGTTGCGCATCACAACTGGAGCTGAAACATAAGAGACCAACTCACAACATGAAGAGGCGCATCACAACTTGAGCTACAACACTAGAGACCAGCTCATTAGCCCAGGAAGTGGCTCTTCTCAAATGATTTGGAAACATTGAAAGACCAACTCATTAATATAGGATTTTGCATGGCTGAACTGGATTTAAAACATTAAAAGACTAAATCATCGTTATTGAAGGAGGTTCATTTCAGTATAGACTTTAGTCTTGATTTTGTTTTCGAAATGATCCTTTGGTAGTGATACGCAAATCGTTATAAAACTCTACTAAATGTAATTGCCGGAACGGGTATGCACAACAGAGGTCCATAAAACGAAATCTTTGCATTGACTATTGTGCTAAATAGTGGCCCAAACGGACTCAATGTATCTGTTCATTTGAACCTGAAGCTGAGAGCTTTTTAATATCTATCACTATGTGTGCTGTAGAGATCAGACTTCCAGACGACCTCAGCTGACACTACAACTGCCTTTCTACGGTAACTGGGGTATCATTGGGTGTGGACAGCACCCGCAACTCATTCTTACACTTCACCATGGATGCGGAAGGTTATACTTTCTCCACTACTCGGAACATTCGGACAAGCAAAATACACCCCTATATCTACTGACCACATTCTTCACAGAGAAAGTCCAGCATAACATGGCTTTCTCAGAATGGAGCCCACGTGACCACGGACAGTTGCAATGTGTAACCCATGTCCAGGCACCTTGGTTGTCTAGGTATAACCTACAATTGTAGAAGGACATGCTTACGTTCAGTCAAAGTCACTGTGACTATAGAAACTATTTGGAGTTAAAATAGCGCCGAGTTTAAACTATAATATTGAAGAAAATGATTCTGTGTGGAAAGAAATCTGCTTCGTCTATGTGATGCGACTCAACTGGATATGAATCATAAAAATCAGCTCATTATAGTAGGAAGTGGCGCGTCACAACTGGAACTGAAAAGGTAGAGAACAACTTATAACATGAAGTGGTGCGTACAACTGGAGCTGAAACATTAGAGACCAACTCATTATATGAAGTGGAGTCAATGTATCTGTTCATTTTAACCTGAATCTGAGAGCTAATGCAGCATCACAACTGGAGCTGAAACATTTGGGACCAACTCATTATATGAAGTGAAGTATCACAACTGCAGCTGAAACATTAGAGACCAACTCATTATATGAAGTGGTGCTCAAGACTGCAGCTGAAACATTAGAGACCAACTATTATGAAGTACAGCATCACAACTGGACCTGAAACATTAGAGACCAACTAATATGAAGTGGAGCATCACAACTGGACCTGAAACATTAGAGACCAACTAATATGAGGTGGAGCATCACAACTGGACCTGAAACATTAGAGACCAACTAATATGAAGTGGAGCATCACAACTGGAGCGGAAACATTAGAGACCAACTAATATGAAATGGTGCTCACAACTGGACCTGAAACATTAGAGGCCAACTAATATGAAGTGGAGCATCACAACTGGACCTGAAACATTAGAGACCAACTAATATGAAATGGAGTATCACAACTGGACCTGAAACATTAGAGACCAACTAATATGAAGTGGAGCATCACAACTGTAGCTGAAACACTAGACACCAACTGATTATATGAAGTGGTGCTCAC